CACCATAATCACCCATCTCCTGAAAAGGACAAAAAGCTGATCTCACAGCCATAAATACTCAACTCCCAAACAAACTGCACCAGAGCACAGAGTGCTACTCCTATCCTCTGAAGATGCCGGCCACAGAGACTGGCGAAACATTAGGAAGAACAACCTTCAGAACACGGCCAAAGAGCCCGAAAAAACCCACAACAACCATTCCATAGAGATCTTCAGTCAGTAAAATGGACTGCTGGAGAGTTCAGTGGTTTAGGTCTCTAGCTGTGGAGCCAGAGGTTGAGGGTTCAATTCCCCACTGTGCCTCCCTGACAAGGACTGGACTCGATGATCCACTGGGTCCCTTCCAGCTCTGCAGTTCTAAGATGATGATGATAACGTGAACTTATGCTCTTTGATGGAGGTAATTTAAACTGCATCTTTATAAGTGATGCAGTAGTCAAACTGCAGTACATCAGCAAAGACTCTGCTCATGACCTGAGTTTGATCCAGACAGGCTCAGGTAGCCAGCTTGAAGCTGACTCAGTCTTCTGTCTTTCCAAGGTCATTAAATTGAGTGCCCAGTGCACTGGGGAGGGGGATAAATGTGAACCCTGAGTAATTAAATTGTAAACTGCCCAGAGAGTGCTTTAAGCACTATGGGACAGTATATAAGCAAAACATTTTGCTTTAACTTTACAAACCAACCCATAAGGTGGGGTTTTAAAAAAACCAAAATGTGACTGGGGGTGGGGGAGGAGGAGGAGGAGGAGGTAACTCTATCCCGAGGGAAGTCCTAAGGGTAAATATTTCCTGCCTTTTTCTGGTGCCAGGACGGCAAGGAAAAGTCTTTCCAAAAACAAAATTGTAGCTTCAGAGGAAAGAAAAAACGGGGGGGGGGGAAGAGTGCTTAATTGGTTCCTTCTGATTCTATATCTTTCAAACAGCTGATAGAATGTGCATTCTTTGGAGAGAAAAAACAACTTCTGCAAGTTTAAATATCTACTTTTGCCTTGTGGGGTTCAAACCTAATGCCATTTTAAAAGATTTTGTGTGTGACATAAAGCTTTCTCTCTGTGTGATTACACAGTACTTTGCATACACTTCCTTTAAAAGGGGAGGGGACTTTAAGTGGGGAAGGATCAATTAAAATACACACAATCGCAGGCAAGCAAGAAGCAAAAGACTCACAGTGTTCGTGGCACCTAGCCAGAAGCTCCAAATCATCAGCGTGGTAATAGTCGTAACCTGACGTACCAAGGACTTCAAAGGGCAAATATCCTATAATAGGTGGGGCTCTGGAAAGCAAAGCATAAAGGCAGTGAGTACAAAGCTATTATTTTAAGGCTGCCGTAGCAAGTAAAAACACAAAAAACATACAACATGCATTATTATATCATTATTTGATATAATTATATAAAATGACCCTTATATTTTGTTCTTGCAGGTATTCGGGGGGGGCTGATTTGCTTAGATCGCATGGGGTGATAAAGAGGAGAATGATGACAATGTACCTAATTACTGTTACTGTTGCTAATTACTGAGCCCACGAAGAGCCAATCAGAGAACACAATATTAGGCAAGAAGGGTCAGTGGCCTTATCCAATAGCAAGCAGCTCCTTACTTTGTTCCACATTTAGGACAACAAACAGAAAGGAAGTGAGTCACTGATTATACCTGGTTGAGAGATTTATTGCTTTTACAAGCATCCTGCGTACCCACTGATATGTGACAACTACAGACCACATAATTAGTCAGCTGCCATCATGTCTGTGTTTATACTCTTCAGTTCCAGAACAGCGTTCTACAGCCTGCTCCTTTTCTTATAGTCTTTGATGACAATTTCCATCAACACAGCCAGAGGATGGCCAAGGATGAATGGAACAGCTGTCCAGAAACATCTGGAGGGCCAGTTTCCCTAATTCTCTCTTAGCAACAGAAAGGGGATTTTAGGTAGTTCTGGGGGCTCAACAATACTGCAAAAGAAAACCCCCAAATCTCAGATTCACTCTTCGTTTTGAAAAAAAGAATATTGTTTTATGTTAAAACTGTTGGTGTGTACGCTCCTGGGAGTTGATTTTTTTTAAAAAAAGTTTATTGTTGTTATTTTAAATAATATTAAAGGTAAAGGTAAAGGTTCCCCTTGACATTTTTAGTCCAGTCGTGTCCGACTCTAGGGGGCGGTGCTCATCCCATTTTCAAGGCGTAGAGCCAGCGCTTGTCCGAAAAGAGTTTCCATTGCCATGTGGCCAGTGTGACTAAGGAACGCCGTTTTACCTTCCCACCAAGGTGGTACCTATTTATCTACTCGCATTTTGCATGCTTTCGAACTGCTAGGTTGGCGAGGAGCTGGGACAAAGCGATGGGAGCTCACTCCGTCACGTGGATTCAATCTTACAACTGCTGGTCTTCTGACCCTGCAGCACAGAGGCTCCTGCGGTTTAGCCCACAGCGCCACCACATCCCTGAGTTAAATACTATTACCACACTTTTAATCTTTAAAAAGACCCAAGGCAGCTTACATCATTAAAAGACAATATTTAAAAGTTAAAAACAGTAAGTACACAAATATTTAAAAGAATCAAACAACTACCACACTAAAATAATAAACAAAATCAACACCCAAAATACATTCAGAGAAACAAGGCACAACATTCCATTTAAAAACCGTACTCAGATAGCCAGTCATTAAGGTTAAGCCTGTCTGAAAAGAAAGGTCTTTCACAGAATCATGAAGTTGGATGGAGCCTATAAAGTCATTGAGTCCAACCCCCTGCTCAGTGCAGGAATACAAATCAAAGGTTATCTGCCAGGTGGTTGTCTAAATTTCTCTTGAATGCCTCCAGGGTTGGAGCACTCACCACTTCTCGAGGTAATTAGTTCCACGGCTGTACTGCTCTAACAGTTAGAAATTCTTCCTGATATTCAGCTGAAATCTGGCTTCCTGTAACTTGAGCCCATTGTTGCGTGTCCTGCACTCTCTGGAATGACCGAGAACAGATCCTGTCCTCTGCAGGACAGCCTTTCAAATATTGGAAAAGTGCTATCAGGTCACCCCTCAGTCTTCTTTTCTCAAGGCTAAACATGTCCATGTCTTTTGTCAGTCCTTTCAGCCTTTCCTCAGACAACTTGGTTTCCAGCCCCCTGATCATCCTTGTGGCCCTCTGAACAACCTGTTGGCATCCTTCTGGAAATGTGGTGTCCAGAATTGGACACAGTACTCAAAATGAGGCCTAACCAGTGCTGAACAGAGGGGAACTAGCACCTCACAGGATTTGGAAACTAGAGTTCAAATAATCCATCCAAAAATAGCATCTGCCTTTTTTGTAGCCACATCCCACTGTTGGCCCATATTCAACTTGTGATTGAAAACAACAATTCCAAGGTCTTTTTCGCTCATAATATTGCTGAGCCAGGTTTCCCATGTCTGGTAATATTGCTGAAATCAGATATACAAGGTCTATAGTATTTCCTCTGTCTATCAGGGAGGTTACCTGATCAAAAATGAGATCAGATTAGTCTGGCAGCATTTGTTCTTGACAAATCTGTGTAGGCTTCAAGTTATTATTGCATTGTTTTCAAGCTGCTTGCATAGTGACTGCTTCATAATCTGTTCCAGAATTTTCCCTGGGATTGATGTCAAGCTGACTTGCCTGTGGTTCCCTTATTGAAAATAGGGACAACATTAGCTCTCCTCCAGTCATCTGGCACCTCACCCATTTCCTATGATTTCAAGAAAATAATGGAGAGTGGTTCTGAGAGCAATTCAACCAGCTCCTTCAATACAGGGGGAGCAGGCAGGAGAGATGCCCAAGAAAAAGGGATCAAAAATCCAAGTAAAATTCAGATAGCCAGCTGAAAAAGAGGGAAAGGCTCCTATGCCTTCAACAGTGATATAGAATTTTAGCCCTGAGCTGAAAGTGACTGGACAGCACACAAGAATAGTAAAATTTCAGCAGGTGTAACTTGTACAATAGGTAAAAGCCAAACTGCCCTTTTCCCCCTTTCTATATCCTATTAAGTTCAGAATCAAGTTGCTACTAAAACATTTCCAGAAAAAAGAATTATCAAATTAGGAAACTCATTTCAGTCCTGCCTGTACTATTGGAAAGGGAACAGATCCTTCAGGCAACAACAAATAAGTGGTGTTTTTTTGTTTTTTGTTTTTTGTTTTTTTGAAATTGTGATTTAATACAGAGCAGGTGTACAAGCTGTCCAGCCTGAAATGCATGCCTTCTCTTTCACTCATTCATTGTTCAGGATGTTTGCAACTTCCTCTTTTGCTTCAAATTAGATTCATTGTTAGGATTTCTGAATAGGAAACCGGTGACTCAGCATAATACGAAATACCTGCTGGTGTAACTAAAAGAATGTCTCCAGGCTTCTTCATCGTTTTCAGGACTTCTGGATTATCATACTAAACAATCCTACCTTCAGACCTGGGCTGCTAGATCAGTAGCTGCAGTTAGTAGACTTTGTTCAGATATATTGCTAAGGGTCAACATTAAGAGGAAAGCATGTTTTCTTCAATTAACCCTTTTCACAATGGGATTTCCTCTGAAAATACATGCTTCAGCAATCAAACTTCGAGGATAAATCCACATTTATCTTTCAGTGACAGTTACAAAACAAACCATACTAAATGCTAAATGCAAAGGCGGGGAAATATATGTGTGTTATGACAGTCAGACATCATTTATGACTTGAAGAAGCACCACTTCTAAAAACGGAACACACAATCTAGGTTTGACCCTCAGCCTTTGCTTGCTGTTCAGTTTAGCTGCTGATGCTGTTAGAAGAGGCTAATTAGGAACAATCGGGCAGTGCGCCCAAGGATGCTGCCTGTCAGGACCCAGGTCTCTGCAATTCTGTGGCATAGTTACAGGCAAATGTGGTTAAAGAAAAGAAAACCCTCATTCCTAACCCAGACAAATATCTAGGTCAGAGGAGAAGCTGTCTCTTTCTTTTTTTAAAAGCTAATGAAATGTTATTTTAGGCTGAGACTGTTTCTAATTGGTAGTTCCCTCTTCCTATGACTCAACACAAGGCCCTAAAAGGATATTAGATTTCAGCACATGCTATTATCATATCATATCGATCAATACTGCAGGCAGCAGCATTACACTGTTCAATGAAGACCAGCAAACCACTTGACTGGAGCCATGCAAAACACAGCTTATTTCTGCTTCACAGTTTATCTAACCATCATTTCTTTCAAGGCTACATTAATCTTTAAAATGTTATGTTATGAGTCAAGCCAGACCTCTGTAACCTGGTGCACCCCACGTGTACTGAACTTCAACTCCCATGATTCTCCAGTCATGCTGGAATGGAGATAACAGGACTGGGAAGACACCAGGTAGGATTCCCATACTTGGTCCCCAGACATTCCTGGGCTACGAGTCCCAGAAACCCGAGGTAGTCCAACCAATGGCTGGGGCTTCTGGGAGTTATAGCCCAAGAATGTCTAGGGACCCAAATTTGGGAATCTCTTAGGCAAGGTAAGTTTCATGTCAGCTTTGAAGACACATCTTTATTGAGAGATATACAAATCTCCTCCTTCTATCCCCAGTTTATCTGCAGAATCAGCAACCTTTCATCCTGGACGCAACAACTCTAGATAGGCTACCTTTACAGGATGCAACCATCAGATGTTTCTGCAGATTTAAAAAGCCATGGTAAGCATGCTCGGACCAAATAATATGCACGCCGATGGCAAGAGGGTGAGTGTGAGAGGTTTCATACTAGCGCCTCAAGACAAGATTTCTTGTGACATGTTCTTGTTTAAAATAGCAACATAATTTTCCATAATACATTTTTCCAGGACATTGTGTACAATCCACGTCTTCCCTCTGAAAACACTGCCTTTCTATTCAAAGTCTTTGAAACTACCTGCTTCTCATCTATGACTTTGTTATGAATGAGTAGATTTTTATTGATGTGGCTTACTTCCCTGATCCACCCCACCCTCTTTTTTTAATTAACAGAAGGGCAAATAATAAAATCATCATCATAATAATACATCCAAAGTGTATCTACAAAATAGGTAATTTTTTAAAGGTAGGTAAGTTTTACACCAATTTGTATTAGCTGAGGATCTGACTTGAACCACAATGAATAACTTATTTGCCTCTAATTCTGTGCACATTTATTTGGAAATATCACATTCTAAGTTCACGTAATTATAGTATTTCAATTAGACATACACTATATTATAGCTTAGCATTGCAAAATCAAACCTAGTGTATTCCAACAAGATAGAATTCTTTAAGGTTAACCCATTGACTATAGAATGAATTTTCATACATTTTAAGAAGCAGTTGTGGCTCATATGCTATAATGAATCTGCTAGTCTTAAAGATGACAACTCTTCATTAAGAACAAGCCTAGTTGATGCTCAAGTATTCTTTCTCCTTTGCTGCAACCACAAGAACCTTGGAAATTAACAAACTATGACTAATCTGAAGTTATATCTTGTTGAAACAACCTAACTCCAAACCATAATTGAAGCAGATTATTTGTTTCAACAAACCATAGTTAATATTAAACATAGCACACACAGATTTAGATATAACACTAAACCATGATTAATCTAAATCAGAAGCTGTACCAGAGGAACAGCAAACAAGATTAATGCTCCCTGTGGCTTATCCACAGAATGATTCCTTGTTATCTGTGAACTGGGCTTTCGTATATCATAGGAACCACTTAATATTTGGAATACATTCTGGAAGACTATAATTATAAGAACTTTGTAGAGATCTAGTGTAGCACATTGAACAGAGTGAGGAACGAGGACTCAGGACTAATGGGTTCAAATTCCTGTTTGTCCATGGAAACTCACTAGGGGTGGCACTAGTAAAACCACTCCTTAAGCACCTCACATACCTTGAAAATCCTATTAGAGTCTCCATAAACTGGAACATCACAACAACACAATGTTTTATTCCTTCAGACCATAGAGAAAAATATCAAAGGCATAGAGGAAGACCTGACTGAAAGCATTTATATGTGTTTAACTTTGAACATAACTTGATCAACAACATGAATATTGCTGACAACTTCAGTCAACAATAGGAGTTGATAGTTATGTTTCCTTTCCCAGCTATTACAGGATTGTTGCTATGCCTATAAACCACAAAATGAACCAATAACAAACTAATATCACTAGATAAAGGGAAAGATGGGGCTCTGCACTGGGCCATCTCAGAGGTGGGTGTATTTTCCTCATATATTGTAATTTTTTTACATTTACATTTCTTAGATATGCTAAACCAAAATAAAGAGTTTTTTTTAAAAAAGGAAAGAAATAATACAAATCATCTGAAATGAAGAGCAAGCTATTAATGCATTTGAGATGCAAGAGCTCAAACCTTCCCAGAAGGACACCATGGAGGAGGCATGTAGGATGTGCTTTGGTCCCACGTGATCTTCCCCAACTACGTATCTCACTGAAGCCGTGCAAGCCATGTTGCTAAGGTAACATATCAATTGGCTCTTACTGTACACAGTGAGATGAAGACTATAATGACCACTCATTTAATTATTCCTGGATCACGATCCTTATAGAGGTGTGAGCTGTTTTGGTCCATAGCCTGTTGCAGCACAAACAACACAGAATTTTGGCACCTTATAGAGGAATATGTTTTATTTGGTCTAAGGGTTCCTGGAGCACTGAACACTCCTTCGGGGGCACTCTCAGGCCCCCTTTCTTCCCAAAAAGAGTATGAGGAACAGTCCTTTGATCAGAGAAATGGAGGGGGGCACAGAGGAAGGTTTTCTAAAGAATATGAACTGATGCAGGCATCTTCTGGGCAATGATGGTGCCTGCCAACTGATCTTTCTGCTTCAGAAGCACCCATGCAAGCCGGTGGGAATACTATGGGACAAGTATATGACTGATAGAGATGGACACGGAACCACTGGTTCGGCGGGGTTAGTTTCCCAGCCAAACTGTTGATCCATGGTCCGGTGTCCCACCCCCTCCAGCAGCTGCCCACTCAGCAGTAGCAACCTGCCTTGCCTCCTCTGGCAGCTACTGCCACTGAATGGGCACCTGCTGGAGGGAGCAGGAAACCCAACCGTGGATCAGCTGTTCGGCAGAAAACATACCACAATGAATCACTGAACCAGCAGTTCATCCCTATCTCTAGGCTTTGATAATGGGTTGCAAAAGGGCCGTTGTCTGTATGGTTAACCATGGTATCTATTAACACAGAGGCCCTTTCAACACCGAAAGAATAGCTACTACATCACCTCTGCCAGACACATGATGATGACATATTTGCATTCAAGAAATGCATAAAATATCTGCAAGCAGCACCCCCAAAATATGTGACACGAAAGAGACAAGACAAAGTCCTTTGCAAGTGCACAGAAGAAGAACAGGAAGCATCGTACCCATGTCAGTGTACCAGGGAGGACTCAATGTTAGTTGCCCCAAATGCTCTTGATGTTGCCTGCTCCTGGGTGGGAATTATCTAATATTTTTTATTAATTATACTGTGTTGCTTCTGATACAAACAAACAAGAACAGAGAAAGGGGCCCTTTAGATCAGAACAGCCTACATGCCGCATGTAGTAGCCCTCATGGGATTTTGGTGGCCCTAGGGATGCGCCAGACCTCTCACTAATAACCTCCCCAAAGCCCTTAAGAATTACTGGAAAACATTTTGTCAGTCCTTGAAGTCTCCAGGAGCTGCAATTTTACTATAAAACCGAGTGCAGGGCCTCTCAAAGGCCCCCTCCCATTTCCATAAACAAACACTGGCAGTAATTATCTGGAAACCAGAAGCTGCTCTTCCTTCATATTTTGGGGCCAGTTGCCACTGCTAGATTGGCATGGCCCATCTTGTCTTTAAATCCAACCCTTAACTCCTTACTAACAAATCTTGAGGATTAATAGCAGATGCTGTAAAGAAGAGAGGATGCTGAACTAGATACACATTTGTCTGACCCACCACGGCAATTTTAATGCTCTGTAGCTTACTTAATCTGATGAGTGATCCAACCCCTGAGTTAAGAAGTCATGTCCCTCGTGAACTTCTTCATCTCTGTAGATTCCTTGCTTAAAGGTTTTTGTCGTTTCCTTCTCCCCCCCCTCCCAACTGCCACCACCCACAGTTTCAAAACTGCATCACTTAAAGTAAGATCTATTTACCTGTGATCTAAAAACAGAAATTTCCATTCCAGGCTGTGCCTTGATGTGAATTCTTCACAGGGTTCTTCAACGTTACAAAGTTCCTGCAGAAACAGATGGCAGGGCGATATTGGTAGTTTGTTTGCTTCCCCCCCCACACACACACTTTCTCTTTTTTCTTTTTAAATACACAACTCTTGGGAAACAAACAATATTTCTGACAAACACATGGGACCATATGGTGAACCACACTGCTGGGCTTTTCAGACCTTTGAAAATTTGATGCAATTGCTCCCAGTTCTGTCTGTCTTAAGGCAAATCTTGTTTTTATTCTAGGGATACAGATCAAAGTGTAAAAAATTAACTTGACCAAGTCCATGGAGGGAATCAGTGTGTGAGAGAGAACAGGAACCCCCTGCCCCAGCGCTGCCATAAATTAACTATGCAAAACCTCAATTAACTTTGATGTGTACTGTGATGGTAAAGGTCTTCGAACTCAGTTGCGAAGGGCATGGGGTATTCTGCCTCGAACAATGACCATTTTCAGTTGGTTGTTCTTTTAGGGCTAAAGGTGAAATACAGGGCAATCTCTCATGCCACCCAATAAATCAGGTGTCATGTGCCATGAAGATTCCTTGCAACATAATTGCTAGCTTACAAATTATTTTAGTAGATCTCGGTATCCCACTATATTTTTTATCCTGGGCACAAATGAGAGACAAAGGATTCCATCTTTCATCTGATAACACATTCAGGTACTTACTGTACAGTATATGGAGATAATTGCTAGCTTACAAATTATTTTAGTAATCATCTGATAACACATTCGGGTACTTACTGTATATGGAATTTCATGCACTGAACTGCAAGCAATTTCTTCTCACCTACAGCCACCAAGCTACCAATTTTACAATTGCAGATAATTGCAGTCCAGCATCTATTCTGTGTTTTAATTGTGTGACCTATGAAAGTTCAGTAGGTCTCTTGTTAGGAGCCCCTATTATCACTTCATCACAAATAAGAAGGTAAGGTACCAACCTTATATCTGAACTGAACCACTTCAGACTGGAAGAAAATAAGTGAATCCCTGCATCAGAAAATTAGCATATCAAGGAGAAAGCCAGAATAAAACCTCTCTCTCTGTTATGCTAATTTTCTACATGCCAAGATATTGTTGCTATTGGTGCTTATGGAGCAAACGGTGCCAGGCTTGCTCATTAGTTGTTAGTGAGAAGCAAGTTCTAACTTTCCATGTATTCCTGTATGTTCAGATAATTCATATGTAAGAATGTTCATGAGACAGAACCTCATTTTTATTTTTTTTAAACCCTGTCATTAAAACAGGAAAGGAAGGATTCTATCTGAGCAACTCTTCCTAACAAGCTACACCTGATTTTCTATGTGCAGAGAGGTGTTGTTATTTCTAACTTGGTTACATTAACAAAAATAAACCTGTATTTCGAACCAGTGGAATTGATGGCTCTGCTTCCTGATTGTTTTCAGTAGTAGAAGAGGGGAGCCGTGTTAGTCTGTGCAAGCACTATAGGTTAAAAAACAAACAAACAAAAAAGAAATAAAAAAGATAAAAAAGTGACAACAACTTGAACGCTAACTGTTATATTTTAATGTGAGCTTTCATAAAAAAAACCGTCCACTTCCTCCATCATAATAAAAGGGAGAGATACCATGGCAAATATTGATACATGGCATCAAAATACAGAGATGTGGTTGATTGGTTGGTTGGTTGGGTTGGTTGGTTGGTTTGTTGGTTGGTTGGTTGGTTGGTTGGTTTGTTGGTTGGTTGGTTGGTTGGTTGGTTTGTTGGTTGGTTGGTTGGTTGGTTGGTTGGAGAGTCAATAGGTATTTAACAGTGGGGTGATAGCCTCTTTTGATATACATTCATATTATTCCACCATTGTTATTCATGACAGAGGTCCTTACATCCTTTACACAACAAGCTTCAATGGAATATACCTGTATAACAATAACACTTTCATCCCACTGTTAAAAAACCATTGACTCGCTTTCCAATGATTGATTTTGATGCCATGTATAAATATTTGCCATTGTAACTCTCTCTTATTCTTATCATGTCCATAAAAGCTCCCATTAAAATGCAACAGTCAGTGTTTAATGAACCTTAGACTTTTCTATATGTTCTTTTGTTTTGTTTTCACCTATAATGATTTTTCCCCATAAGACATGCGGATAACATGCTGCCATTAATCAGCTCTGCACCTCCTAGGACCTTCTCACCCACTGTCGAACCTGTCAAGTCACAGCAATGCTATCACGGATCAGAGAGCCTGCACACCTTCAAGAACTGTGGAGTAACAAGACGGACTGTTGCTACCAGGCAGATCTGCTCTTCATTGGCTGATCGGAACACTCGTGCAATGGCCGATTCAAAGCCATTATAAGAGGACGTAGGCACTGAAAATAAAACAAATCAATCATTCACCAAAAAATGAGGGATTTTCCTTTTTTTAATAAAGAGATTTCTAAAACTTTCCTGCCTATTTCGGTTGCAGCCTCCTGTTCTTTCTGAAAAAACAGGTTTTATTGACAGGATGCCAATAAAATCAAGCCAGTAAAACCTTTTACTCTAAGATGTTCAGCCCAACGCTTCTTTTAATGGGAGAGATTATTTCAGAAAGTTTGATGTTATAGATGGAGAGATTGTGAAACTGGTCACGAAAGATTGTCAAGCAAGTGGCGGTGGGGAGATGGAATGAAAAAGTAGAGAGAAGAAAACTAAAAACCTTCCGAGTTCTGCTAGATTGCCAGATGGAGAACAGAAGGAGGGAAGGTTCACGCTGCAATTTCTCCATCAAGCCTTAACACACATTAGAACAACAATTATACACAGAGGTGACCCACATGCATACATGCCCTCCTACGCTCCAGAAATTCCAGGTCAATATATTCATTACCAACACCAGAAGTCTTGAGGTTGAAAGGTTGTGGAGGCAATATCTGTCTGATGGAAGAGTTCAGTATAACTCCAGAAATCATGCGTATTTTTATATGTGCTCCGTGTTTATTTGCCCAGGTGGTTTTGAAGTATTCTCATTTCCTTTCCTTAACTTCAAAACATTCAAGGAACTCATTCAAAGAGCATGGTTTTAAGGTGAAGACTGCAGCTGTCAAGCCAAAAAACCTCAACCTGTTTCCCTTGTCTGTATCCCAGTAAGCGCTATGCTACAAGATAGTCTATCCGCTGCTAAATCTTCTCTTTTCTTTTTCAATTTCATGGAAGTACACAACCAGAGAATGCTTAAACCACCTCAGCCCACTCATTGCCCCAAATTCATCCTCTCACACACAATCTGAATGTGGGTTAAAATGGAAAAACAACAACCAGAAATAACATGATGTTTTGAAAACTAGTGGGCACTTATCAAAGCAGCTAAGGAACCTATTGTTATCATGTTTAATTTACGCAGAAGTTAAGTGAGCTGCAACTTAGCCTCCAATTAGGAGGAGCTCCTAAATCCAAATAAAATAATATTAAAAGCTTTAAAAATCTGTTAGAACCGTATGCATCTTTCTGGTCATATGGTGGGCTTTCCTGCACTTGGGACAGTTTGGGGCTTCAACATACCTTAAAGCACTCCTAATTATGAACTCTGGTCATTTCATACGTTATGAAAATGTAGCAAAAAGGGGAAATGCAAATTCAGCTTCATCCTTTCTAGATTGTGTGGCAGAATCCAGTCTGCAGAAGCAGTGTTGGCTGAACTGGGCTCACATCCTCATTCAGCTGTGAAACACCCTGGATGACTTTAGGCTAGTAACAACTTTCTCAGCCTGCATTACCTCTACAGCCTCTTGTGAGGACAAAGTGGGAAGCAGAAGAGCCCTCCCTGTACAATGACTTGAGCTCACTGGATGAAAAATGGGCTGTACATTTAACCAATGGACATAATCATAACACAGGGAGAGTGAATTATACATCCGCTCAGCAAGGAAGTATATGATCTACTACTTCTTTGCATCACACCAAGTATGGTTAGAACAATAAGCATAACAAGAGAAAGCAAGAGAGACAAGAAAAATAAAAAATGGCTTACCATGAGTAAAATATTTGAAATCCACTACAAATTTCACATATTCATATGTAATGGGTTCATTTGGATCTAAGTTTCCTCGGGCTAAATGACAGCAAAATTCTATTTGTTTTTCAGCTGAAAGAAAAAAAGCAGAACGTATTTTTAAAAATTGGGTTGGAATATTACAAGACGTATTCCCCTTTGTTTCTTGAAAATTCTCTCTCACACACACACACATCAGAAGTCAGTGTGGTTTGCAAACATCAGTTGATGCTTTTGCACCCTGGCATCCTCTCTCAAACCATGGGTTAATTTTTTGTGTATCACAGTCACAGGCAAGAGGTATTTCTAAACTACACCTCTATCTTGGCCCCGGAATGTCCCATTCAGTGAAGTTTGTTAAGGACCCAAGGCAATGGCAATGGCATCTCCAATTTGTCACTCTTCTGTATTTTCCTTTTGTGTATTTTTTTTCTCCCTTACCAGCAAAAAATCCATTAAAGGAAAAAAAGTTAAAGGAATTGCTGCACAATGCCCTTTAATTATAAACTGTGGGAGCCCTCCATTTAGAAAGCGGTTAAGGAAAGCAAACCATGATTAGACATCATGTCGCCATAGGAATAAATTCAGTTAATTAGATTTAGTAGCCCTTTCGGTTTTACCTCTGGTTTACACAGTAGGTCTAAAAGTTAAGATTAGAATGAAGCTTATCAGAGGGCACTTGCTAACACTTTATTGAAAGCCTTAGTGCTCTTTTACTAAAAACGTCCTCCAGGGCTTCTCTATGCCTTCTAGATTAATTCTGGATCCCTCAGTCTGAAGATTATACAACTTTACTTGAGACGGAAATAGGACAGAGGAAACAAGACATCAAAAGTCCTGCATGCCACTTACAGCCTAGCGGAGACTTATTTTACAAGCTTCTTCAGGACTTCCGTGACAATTAAGCCATGCACAGAATCTTTGATAAATTCAGTTATTCCAGTAAGAATGGGAAAATTGAAGAGTGGTAGTTCAGTGGTGTAGACATTACTGCACAGTGCTCCTTCCCATTCTCCTGGGGTCACATAGGAAGCCCTAAGCCACGTGGAAGAAACTTAGATCATGGCTCCTTATCATAACAGTCTCATTCTTCTGGAAACTGGTTTAAGGCTGGCGGGCAAAAACTACTGGATGGGTAAATTTGGAAGTGCAAGTGTTCATCATGGCAGTCCATCTAGCCCAGCCCTGTCAATTCTGACCAGCAGCATCTTTCCAGATGCTGGTCAGATCTTTTTCAAAGAGCATCCAAAACAGCAAGCAGCTGGATCAATCCATACCAGCTAATAAGTTCTACCAGGGTTTTTTTTTCCCCAATAGGAATAGTTCTCTTGTAAATATAATGACTCTTCATTGACCATCCAAGACTAAAGCACCCTCAAACAACAGAGATAGCTTGCAACAGTATATTGTTTCCAGGGGAAAATATGTCTCTCTCAAATTGTTGTGAAGACTAAACCTAAGCTTGAGGAAATCTAGGACTTTGAAGAAATCTGAGACTAAGTTGATGGGAGGTATGGGACACTTAACCTTGTTCGTAGATGGCAAGTTGCCGCCAAGACTTACATGATTTCCCTAACACTAGGGTTAAACAGGAATAGGATTCAAGCTTATGTTTCAAAACCTTCCTGTTATCTGGGCATGCCTTTCTCCTTCCCATCAAAGAAATATATGAAGCAGTCTCACACTGAGTCATACCACGGATCCACCTAGCCCAGCCCTGTCAACTCTGACCGGCAGCATCTCTCCACAGTTTCAGGCAAGATTCTTTCCTGGCCGTACCTGGAGATTTCAGAGACTGAACCCGGAAAAGCTTCTACATGCAACACAAATGTTTTAGCCTTTGCCTGTAACTCTTCCAAGACAGTGCACAAAATAGTACTTACAGTTCAAAAAATCTGTTGCCACAGGGTTCGCCATGAGCATGTGTGGAGAAAGCAGCTTGTACACATCACTCTGTTCACTCTCAGGCAGAAAGTTTAATATATTTTGGTCCACCAAATCTGACTGATGCAAAAGAACACTTTGTCATGTTCAACGGTAGAGAGTTAAAGGGATCAGGAAATAGGTGAACTGCTGGGTCACGCATGGCACACATGCACAAAGCCTTGCTCTCTCATGATTTCCTCACTCTGCACCATAGACACTCTTATCCCCATGGGCAAAACCAGTTCTGTAGCAAATAATTTTTTGTTTGTCTAACATCAATTCATGAGCCATATTCATCGACATAGGTCATCATTCAACACTGCAGTGAATTATCTCAAAGAAAGCCATGTAAGTAGAGTGATTTATTAGAAACCAAAAAAGGATTATCAATAATTTCTAGCTCTAATCTTGTGATAAGAATAAAAATAATAACTGTGTGCTGTCAATTCCAATTTATGGCAATCCTCTGGAGGATTCTCAAGGTACAGAATCCACAGAAGTGGTTTACTATTCCCTTCTTCTGGGAGTGCCCTGAGATGGTCCAGCTTGCCCAAAGCCACACACTCTGGCTCTTCTCCTAGGTGGCTGCCATATGAATCAGATATTTCTATAACTGCTATGGCTATATCCTACAGAACCCTGGCACTTGCAGTTTTATGATGAACTCGGCATTCTAAGTGGGGTAAAATATTACCAATAAATAACTAAATTCATACATACTCTCAGCAAACCGCAAATATCTGGATATTGTAAGTTGATACCATAGTGGGTAAAGTGTTATCAAACTGCAACCATTGTAGCATGGCTACAACCTCTGCTTTTCTGATGTGGAACTCAAGTGTAATTCTCACAGATGGCATCTAAGATGAAGAACTTATCTAAATGTGTGTGTGTGAGAGAGAGGGGGGGGAGAGGGAGAGAGAGAATGCAACACTCCCTTTTTGGTTATGTGTGTAGGCATGAGATATTCCCTCATACATAAAAGCTATTTTGTCAGAGAAAAAGGCAAGCTAAATGCTTCTCCCTGGTATCTTGTTTTCCCTCTGCAGAAAACCGTTTATGTGGCGTACTGTGCAATCATAGTAGAAGCCTTAGCTGCAGTCTTAAATACTACCCTTTACACAGGTCTACACCTGGCTGCCACTTGTGTGAGAATAAGACCCAAATGCAAGGAAGAGTAAAATGCCCAAGAATATCTAGCAAGGTAAAAATTCAGGAAAGATAAAAAGTGTTCCGTTTTCACACAGTGCAACGTTGAATGGAGGACTGTATGAAAAAGCAGAGACATCACCTTGTCAACAAAGGTCCGCATAGTCAAAGCTATGGTTTTTCCAGTAGCAATATATAGAAGTGAGAGCTGGACCATAAAGAAGGCCGACCACCAAAGAATTGATTCTTTTGAATTATGGTGCTGGAGGAGACTCTTGAGAGTCCCCTGGATTGCAAGGAGAACAAACCTATCCATTCTGAAGGAAATCAACCCTGAGTGCTCACTGGAAGGACAGATCCTGAAGCTGAGGCTCCAATACTTTGGCCATCTCATGAGAAGAGAAGACTCCCTGGAAATGACCCTGATGTTGGGTAAGAGTGAAGGCAAGAGGAGAAGGGGATGCCAGAGGACAAGATGATTGGACAGTGTCATCGAAGCTACCAGTATGAATTTGACCCAACACCGGGAGGCAGTGGAAGACAGGAGGGCCTGGTGTGCTCTAGTCCATGGGGTCACAAAGAGTCGGACACGACTTAACGAGTAAACAACAACAAAATGAACTTAGGTTGTAGAGTTGGTGCCACCAACTAACAGATTTAAAAGGGGTTTAATCAAATGTGCATCTAGAGGGTCACACTTCCAAGCGCTACTAGCCATGCTGGCAGTGCCTGTGTGCCTCTGTCCATAAGCTGCCGGGGAGCAAAAGAAGGGAGATGTAGTTGCGTGCATATCCTGCTAGTGGACTCTGCATTTCCACTGATCTCATCCAGCATGGTTCTTACTATGTTCTTAAGCAAAGCACCCGGATATTCCATGTCAACATGCTCTTAACCAGACTGAAGCAGAATAGGCTTCAAGGCAGAGTAAAACTGGACGTGATAGGTGTGCAAGAGAGGAAGCACAGAAATCAAAAGTGGGATGGAATAAACTGGCTGAGTTTTGATGGTGTGTTTATCCTGTAGCTTTGCCAACAGCAAGACAGAGCTGTTTCAAGGAAGATGAGCAGAATAAGGAGGCAAAGCAGAATCCAAATGAATTTTATTAAAATATATATATATATATGTGGGTGTTTGGCTGCTGCATTGTTGCCACTGTATAATAATAATAATAAATGTGGTGACCTTAAAAAGCATCCCTAGAAAACAGAGAGTTTTGTGCACAGCCACAAAAGACAGTCAAGCCATCTGTACTGCTTTTGCAAAAGAGCACGCTCCAAAATGCAGCTAATTAGCTAAATATCTTCCATACGCTCAGGCAAGAGAAACAACACACGTTCTCCTACTCAGGGGTAGCACGGAGCAAAGCTAGGACACATGAAATCCCATGCCTTAACATGCTATTTGGTGGCTGTCAGACACATGAACATCACATTTGATGGCCACCTTATATACTAGCGTCATTGCTAGTGTATATCTTTACATCAAGTCTTGAGAGCCTATTTCGTATTAGCACATCTCACATGTGAGGTAGAGCTTCTTGCAAACTGCTGATGATTTAAAGGAAATCTCCCAAGTAATTACCCAGTTCTTAGGGCTTAGACAGGGATGCTCCCTGGACCAAGAGCATCATCATCATCTCTAAGGCCACATTAGGGCTCTTCGTGAAAACAGCCTTACAAGCTCTTAGAGGAGCAAAGCAACACCCAGAAAAATGTACAGTATTTTAAAATTGCTTCAGATTGTGGTACAGGGAATAGTTTTTTTTCCCCACAGAATATGGCAATGCCGGGATACCCAGTGTGGTGATAAAATTGCTTCAGATTGTGGTACAGGGAACAGTTTTTTCCCCACAGAATATGGCAATGCTGGGATACCCAGTGTGGTGCTGTGGACAGGGTGATGAACTAGGACTCAGTTCATAATCTCTACTCAGTCATGGAGATTCATTGGGTGGGTGACACTGGTAAAACCAATACTTTAATATCTCACTTATTTTGAAAACCTTCTTAGGGTTTATATAAGCTGGTTCCGACTTCATGGCATATAACATTACAAGGCAAGGCTGTTGCTAACTATGGTAAAAATGCATCCATCTTTTTCCTCTCCTGCTCCCTTCTCTGATTCATTTTTGATATCATTAATTTTTGAGACAGCAATCACCAGAATCTGCAGTCAGCATTGGCCACACTGTTCATACTGTCTGGGCAATTCTGAGAACGGTAGTCAAAAAAAAACTTCTTTTTCCAAGTTCTGAGTCAAGTTCCACTAGTGATGTGGTTAGATACAGTAAGCTGGGTTGGGGGAGTTTCAATGTAATTAATTGCTCATGGGCAATAGTAACTCTTTTAAGTTTCATTCAAGATTTTGTCCAGTCGTGTCCGACTTTAGGGGGCGGCGCTCATCCCGCTCTTCAAGCCATAGAGCCAGCGTTTGTCCGAAGACAATCTTTCCGTGGTCACATGGCCAGTGTGATTTAGACACGGAATGCTGTTTACCTTCCCACCGAGATGGTACCTATTTATCTACTTGCATTTGCATGCTTTCGAACCGCTAGGTTGGCGGGAGCTGGGACAAGCAACGGGCGCTCACTCCGTCGCGTGGATTCAATCTTACAACTGCTTGGTCTTCTGACCCTGCAGCACAGGCTTCTGCGGTTTAGCCCACAGTGCCACCATGTCCCCTTTTTCATGGGCAATAGTAACTCTTTAAGTTTCATTCAAGGTTCTTAAAATTTTGTCTTCAGCTTTAAAAGTTCCACTTCATGCAATAGCCCAGCCTCAGGAACAGAACGCACAGTGTATTAAATATCTGTAAACCCCCTAAATTTTCTCCACTGTTTTCCCCAGATTT